AAAAAGTATTTATTAAGTCAACTTTAAAACATAAAAAGAAATAAAACTCTGCTACCCTGAAGGCCAAGTACTTCATTTTTTCTGTTCCTTTTCGACTTTTATCCATATATAGTTCTTACACCATGTACCCTGTTGTACCCACACAGAACACACAGTATTTTTAACATACTACATTGCCATTCAGAGAACATGATTTGGAGTCAGAGAAACAGTTCAAATTCAGGATCTTCTACTTACTATTTAATATATACGTGTAACAAGTTACTTCATCTTCCTTGTCTATAAACTAGAAATGATGATGATGATAACTTCCTCACAGGCTTGTTGTGAAAATGAAATGAGATTACTCGTGTGAGAGCTGCCTTGTCCCGGGGACACCTGGGCATTAGGAAGGAGGACAGATGTCAGGAGGTGGGACACCAGGAAGCATCTGGAAGGCGGGGCTGCCCTGCAGAGTCCGTTTGTGGTCAGGAAGAGCAACATCACTATTAGGGGCTTCCCCAGCATTTTGAGCCTCTCATAGTCCCCCCGAAGGGGCCTAGGTCTCAATTAGGCACCATCCGCTACCCATGCCTCATCCCCTGTGACAGGTGCGTCCCGGGATCGATGGCTGGAAAAGAGTCGACCGGGCCGCTTGACTTGCTCTGGCCAGTGATTTATGAGCAGATGGGATACACGTCTTGTCCAAACAGAAATTCTCAGACTCTTTTCCTTCTGCCATGAGAATACCACATCCCAAACAGGGGATGCTCCCTCAGCTTCGGTTGCAGAAGAAGAAGACACGTGGAGGAGAGCCACAGCAGGTATTCTAGTGCCACTGACGTATGAGTGAAAAGTAAATGTTTGTTGAAAGTCCCAGAGTTTTTGGATTGTTACTATGGTAAAGCTAGCTAACAGGTAGTGAGACTGCAATGAGATGAAGAGTCTCATTTTTCTTGAAGAGCAACAAGGGAGGTATAAAGTCAAAAGAACCACAAATTGGTACCTACACGTTTTAAGGAAGGCCTTGGATTCAGGCTCTGAAAAGCATTAACTTGCTTCAGAACAGGGAACCCAGACACCAAATGAGGAAGGAAGGGCTTCTGTGCCTCACATACCAAAGCTACCCATAGGTAGACCAGGGCGGGGGTTGACATGGCTAACGTCGATGGCAGAACGCTTTCTGAAATGAAACAGGACATGTGAATCTTCTACAAGAGGCAGAGTTGTGGATTTCCAGACAGAGGTCTAGAGCTAATGGTAGACAGCATCGTACTCTCAGAGCACTGCCCCAAGGGATCCAGATCTCGGTTAGGCATCTTCATGTGTAGGTGCCCATGTACATGTCACAACACACATGTGCCCACATCATACCACGTCTGAAAGCTGCAGCCAGGGATGAATGGCTGAAAAGTTGCAACTAGGTTTCCTCACCTTTCCAGGGGGCGGGGGGC